TAAAATCAAATCAGGCGATTTTCATTACAGATATTTAGGGATGCAAAATGTATAAAAATGACTTTCCTTTTTGAATATGAGCCCCACTTGTAGATATTGATGATCTAATACTCAACTTGTGGAAATGACATTTTTTGGGCTCGATTTTAAAAAAATGGAATATTGAAATGTGTGTAGGATGAGTGTATTTATTTCCTTCAAAGTCTGTCAGTGGATAATAGAATTTCAGCTGCAGGAATGGAGTCACACTCGCCTGTTAAACTGCCTAAAAGAAACTAACTATACATTAAAAACCAGATACACTTGTTTTGAAGCAAACATGAACTTTATTAGCTTGCATTACATTCACAAGCAGAAATGTTTCAAATGCTTCTTTTTATTTATTTGAACAGCATCAAGACAATCAGGTTATTAGTCATTTTACTATTGTTTCCAGTTATTTGTGTGTATTTAAAGGCATTGCTTCTACAAGATTAACACTGATTAACATTAAATGATATTTTAAAGCAGTTTGCAATCTATGAAATTAATTTCAGCATTTTCTATTTTCAGTATTAAGAGTTGTTTGTTTTTTCATTGATTAATACACTTTGAAGTAACATCAACGTTTTTTATCAGTCAACATAAATGTTGATTCTTCAGATTTTTTTCATGCATCTTGTTTTTTTTTTTAATGTTCATGATGGTATAAAAATGACTTTTCTTTTTGAATTCTGAACCCACTGGTGGATAATCCTCATATTTTAGTGCTGTATTTGTATTAAATACAAAGTCTATCAGTTGATTATAGAATTGCAGCTGCAGGAGTCACTCACCTCACATGTTAAACTGCCTAAAAGGAGCTAATTATACATTAAAAACCAGATACACTTATTTTAAAGCAAGCATGAACCTTATCAGCTTGCTTTACATTCACAATACACTTTTAAATTCCTAAAGGGATATATCACCTCAAAATTGAAACAACCCAAAAAAGTGTTTCCAAACTTTTTTGAGTTTATTTCTTCTGTTGAACACTAAAGAAGATATTTTGGAGAAAACCTGTACCCATTGACTTCCATAAAAGAAAAAATAAATACAATGGAAGTCAATGGTTACAGGTTCCTAACATTTTTTTAAAACAGCTTTTGTTTTCAACTGAAGAAAGAAAATCATAATGGTTTTAAACAAGTAAATGGTGACAGAATTTTATTTTTTGGGTGACTATCCTTTTAACACTATGATTAATATGTTTTTATCCTAAAAACGCTGACTTCCAGAGAAGGAAAAACAAATATTATGGAAGTTATGGGTTACAGGTTTCTAACATTTTTTCAAAATATCTTTTTTTGTGTGTAACAGAAGAAAGAAAGAAAATAAATAAATAAATATATATATATATATATATATATATATATATATATATATATATATATATATATATATATATATATATATATATATATATATATATATATAGATTTGGAATAAATAAAGGGAGACTAAATGATGACTGAATTTTTAATTTATGGATGAACTCTCTCTTTAACACTCTATCATTGAGATATTAGTTATATTCTTAACTTGTAACCATTGACCTCCATATTGTTAGAAAATAGGAATCATTTTTTAAATAATTTTTGTCTCTTTTTCTTTTAATTTGTATAGGTCATGTAAGGGTCATGTATTAACTGAACTTGTGCTGTTGTGTGTGGGATGTTGTGCATTCCTTCATTCACTCATTTTCTTGTTGGCTTAGTCCCTTTATTAATCCGGGGTTGCCACAGCAGAATGAACCGCCAACTTATCCAGCAAGTTTTTTTTTTGCAGCGGATGCCCTTCCAGCCTTCCAGTTTCTCTGGGAAACAATTTACGGACAATTTAGCCTACCCAATTCACCTGCCCCACATGTCTTTGGACTGTGGGGGAAACCGGAGCACCCAGAGGAAACCCACGCAAACGCAGGGAGAACATGCAAACTCCACATAGAAACGCCAAGTGAGCCAGGCTTGAACTAGTGACTTTCTTGCTGTGAGGCGACAGCACTACCTGCGCCACTGCTTTGCCAATGTTGTGCATACTAATTAGTATTTTTGCAGAGGTAGATGATAAATTCTGGTCCAAAAGTAAATTCAGCTCTGCAGAAACTTCCTGTCTGAAGAAAGGTGTTAAAACTGAACACAGAGCACAAAAAGTTTTATGCTTTTATTGCTGTGCAGAGAATTCGTAGAAAAAGAGGACTTATGTCTTGCGAGGACTGGACAATGATTGACAACAAGTGACGAATTTCACTAAACTCCACTTGTTAATATCAGCTGCCCATATAAGTTGTAGTCAGGAAAAGAAAGTGGTTGCGCACCTCCTTAATGTAACTTCTGCATTGCATTGAGGAGAAATTCTGTGAATCAAATGATTCATTTGTATCCAATAAATTGTTACGATTTTTGACATTGAAGAAAAACCTCTCCTGACCTTTTTTCTTGAACATGCATGGAATTGATTAATATTCGAACAATATAGAAGGAAAAACAAATACTATGGAAGTCAATGGTTACAGGTTCCAAACATTTTTCAAAACATCTTTTGTCTTCAACAGAAGAAAGAAAATCTTAAAGGTTTTAAACAAGTAAAGGGTGTTTAAATGGTGACAGTTTACATTTTTGGGTGAACTCTTCCTTTAACACTCCTATGGTTGAGATATTTTATATTCTAAACCTGTAACTATTGACTTCCAGTCATTCATTCATTTTCTTTTTGGCTTAGTCTTATTATTAATCTGGGTTCGCCACAGCGGAATGAACCGCCACTTTATCCAGCATATATTTTACTTAGCGGATGCCCTTCCAGCTGCAACCTAGAAATGGGAAACACCCATACATACACTACAGACAATTTAGCTTACCCAGTTCACCTATAGCGCATGGACTTGTGGGGGAAACAGGAGCACCTAGAGGAAACCCACGCCAACACGAGGAATACATGCAAACTCCAGACAGAAATGACAACGCCAATCTTGCTGTGAGGCACAGTGCTACCCACTGCACTCTGTGCCGCCCTATTGACTTCTATTGAAAGAAAAATAAACACTATGGAAGGAATACTATGGAATGGTTCCTAACTTTTTTCAATTTTTGTGTGAACTATCCCTATAACACTCTTATCAGTGAGATATTTTATACTCTTAACCAGCGATTTCCAAACTATGCCCATTCCCGCCACCAAATAATAAAAAAGTCATTTACTTTTTATTTTAGAATTCTGACTCAAAAAGTCACAATAACTTTTTTAAATTTTTTTATTTCGTGACGGAATGGGCTTCCATACAAAACAGCTACTATAAGTATTCACATATACACTCACTGGCCACTTTATTAGGTACACCTTACTAGGATCTGGTTGGACCCACTTTTGCCTTCAGTACTGCCTTAATCCATCATGGTAGAGATTCAACAAGGTACTGGAAATATTTCTCAGATTTTGCTCCATATTGATATGATAGCATCACACAGTTGCTGCAGATTTGTCGGCTGCACATCCATGATGCCAATCTCCCGTTCCACCACATCTAAAGCTGCTCTATTGGATTGAGATCTGCTGACTGTGGCCATTTGAGTACAGTGAACTCATTGTTATGTTCAAGAAACCAGTCTGAGATGATTCGTGCTTTATGACATGGTGCGTTATCCTGCTGGAAGTAGCCATCAGAAGATGAGTACACTGGGGTCATAAAGGGATGAACATGGTCAGCAATACTCAGGTTGGCTGTGGCGTTAACACGATGCTCAATTGTACTAATGGGCCCAAAGTGTGCCAAGAAAATATGCTCCACACCATTACACCACCACCACCAGCCTAAACCGTTGATACAAGGCAGGATGGATCCATGCTTTCATGGTGTTGATGCCAAATTCTGACCCTTCCATTCGAAGGGTCCTGTAGCCAGCCTGGTGAAATAGGTGGTTCTTTTAGCAGTTATTCACCTAATTTTCTATTTATTTATGAGGTTTAAATACTGCATTTAAAGCACTTTCTGCTGGATTATCTTGTTGGATGGTCATCATAACACTTTTTTTTATGTACCAAAAACATTTGCTAAAGATTTAGAATAAAGAAATAATACAATAATACATACAAAAAATACAATACTTATTATAAAAATACAAATATATTACATCATATATCATCAGAAAATATAGGAGTCTGTTAAAGTTTTTAAATTAAAAAAGTAGCCCATTATCATTTATTAGGCAGATAACAAACAGGTGAGCACATTCAACTTCCTTCACCAAAATTACCAAATTCGGTGTCCCAAATTCTGTACAGACAGCCAACACAGGTATCTGCTTGGTCTTAAAGCCTTTTTTGATAGGTATTTGGGTATATCAAAATTAATTTTGGCATAGCAGTCAAAGTAGGACAAGTGAGCTCATGTATAAATGGACCTTTGTCAGTGAGGAGTGGGTCTTTCGAACCACCTGAACCCCCCTGGCTACGGGCCTGTTCTATTGTCCAATTTTGGTGAGCCTGTGTGAACTGTAGCCTCAGTTTCCTGTTCTTAGCTAACAGGAGTGGCACCTGGTGTGGTCTTCTGCTGCTGTAGCCCATCTGGCTCAAGGTTGGATGAGGTGTGTGTTCAGAGATGCTCTTCTGCAGGGTATTCAAGTTACTGTTGCCTTTTTATCAGCTGGAACCAGTCTGGCCATTCTTCTCTGGTATCAATAAGGCATTTGCGCCAACAGACCTGCGGCTCAAATGGATATTTTCTCTTTTTCTAACCATTCTCCGTAAACCCTAGAGATGGTTGTGCATGAAAATTCCAGTACATCAGCAGTTTCTGAAATACTCAGACAAATCCTCTTGTCTTGTCTTGTCTGGCACCAACAACCATGCCACGTTCAAAGATAGCCTTGACCATGTCTACTTGTCTAAATGCATTGAGTTGCTGCCATGTGATTGGCTGATTAGAAACAAGCAATTGGACATGTGTACCTAATAAATTGGCCGGTGAGTGTAAGTAAATTGTAGAAGCTTTCTCTGGTTTCCCAGGAATGCCCAGAATAAAAATACACCCCACAGCAAAAGTCAGAAATGTAATGACAATGTTTTGATTACTGGTGTTGCGCTGTTCGTCCAGCAGGAGCCGCTGCACTGAAGCCAGTTCCTCTGTTCTGTGGTGTTTAGGGGGTCCAGTAAGGTCCAGCCACACAGACCAGCGTCTACAACAGCAGGACAAACTTCAGCACAGACTTGTCTTCTGGAAAAGCACCACCACACATTATCCTCCAGATTCGGATTAGGAGCAGAGTCCTTCTGGAAGCGCGCGAACATGGACGATCTAGGTAAGACGCACACATTCCCACATGTTTGTTTTGGAGAGAGAGAAACGCAAACATTGCGGAAAAAATATTAGAGGGAGAGACAGGCTAACCACAGTAGCCAATGAGCTAACGGGAAAGATAAGCGATACAAAGTAACACTTTCACTGAACGGGACAGGCGTCACTTTGTTACATTGTAACTGTTTATGTTCCATCTAGCTTGACGTCACATGCCTTTCTGTTACAGTTACAATTTAAACTCGCATGTCTGACTGAAAAAAACTGAGGTGAACTGTAAGGCAGAGTCGTGTTGTGCGCTGGTTTTCCCCGTTTGGATCAGCATCTGGAGTCGTAAAATGTTGTTTATCTCTTTCAAATGATGCTGATACACATGGTTTGTCATTAAGTTGTTTGTTGTCAATAATATTTGTTATAAACGGTCAAAGCCTGAAAGTGCATGATTCAAGTCAAAGTTTATGAGTGATTCGCTTCAGTGAGGAGAAAATTACCAACAGAATTCACAGATATGACCAAAGTAGCATTAAATAATTATTAAAGATGAAGTTCGATATATTGAAGTATGAGTATAAGAGTAAAATGTGAAGAAAAAAATATATAATAAAAGGAATAAACTAGCTAAATGGTATTCTTTATTACTGTTAAAAGTGCTGTTAGCATGACTCAAGTCAAAGTATATCAGTAATTCGCTTTAGTGAAGAGAAAAACAAAATATTTCACAGATATGATCAAAATAAGAAATAAATAATTAAAAGGAAATAAACTAAATAAATATTGTAAAATTTGCTGTTGGCATGAATCAAGCAAAAGTTTTTGAGTGTTTGGCTTCAATGAAGAGAGAAGCACAAAAATAGGTCATAGATATGATCAAAGTAGCATTAAATAATTATTAAAGATGAAGTTCGATATATTGAAGTATGAATATAAGATAAAAATGTGAAGAAAAAATATTTAAAAAGAAATAAACTAGCAAAATTTTATTCTTTATTATTGTAAAATGTGTTGTTAGCTTGATTCAAGTCAAATTTTATCAGTAACTCGCTTCAGTGAGGAGGAAAAATCACAAAAACAGTCACAGATATGATCAAAGTGTACGAGTAATTTGCTTCAGTGAAGAGAAAAACAAAAAGAATTCACAGATATCATCAAAATAAGAATTAAATAATTAAAAAGAAAGTTAAATGTATTGAAATGTGGATATAAAGGTAAAACATGAAGAAAAAAGAAACAAACTAAATAGTATTCTTTATCACTGTAAGGAATACTAAGTGCTGTTGGCATGATTCAAGTCAAAGTTTATCAGTAATTCGCTTCGGTGAAGAGAAAAGCACAAAAGTAATTTACAGATATGATCAAAGTAGCATTAAATAATAAAAGAGAGAGTTCAATATATGGAAGAAATGCTATAAGAGTAAAATTCAAAGAAAAAATATTCCAAAATAAAATAAAGTAAATAAATATTGTTCTTTATCACTGTAAAAAGTGCTGTTGGCTTGATTCAAGTCAATGTTTATAAGTATTCAACTTCAATGATGAGAAAAACACAAAAAAGATATCACAGATATGATCAAAGCAACATCAAATAATTATTAAAGATGAATTTCAGTATCTAAGTATGAATATAAGAGAAAAATGTGAATAAAGAGAAATAAACTAACTAAATATTATTCTTTATTATTGTAAAAAAAGTGATGTTGCATTGATTCAAGTCAAATTTTATCAGTAATTTGCTTTCACTCGCTTCAGTGAGGAGGAAAAAAAATCACAAAAATAGTCACAGATATGATCAAAGTTTACGAGTAATTCGCTTCGGTGAAGAGAAAAACATAAAAAGAATTCACAGATATGATCAAAATAAGAAATAAATAATTTAAAAGAAAGTTAAATATATTGAAATATGAATATAAAAGTAAAACATGAAGAAAAATGAAACAAACTAAATCGTATTCTTTATCACTGTAAGGAATACTAAGTGCTGTTGGCATGATTCAAGTCAAGGTTTAAGGTGAAGGTAAGCACTAAATAATTAAAGCGTACATAGAAGTAAGAATATGTCAGGAAAATGTGTATTAACTATTAAAATAGCACATTTTATAGATGTGTGCATGGATTACAGTTGAGGATTTTATTACAGGAGGACATGTAGGATCAATTTTAAAGCATTAAACGTTATATTTATTACGGCAAAATGATTATAATTGAGTGAAATTCTGCATAATTTAAATAATAGTGTTACTTAACCTCTCAAACTCCACGGACCTGGTTAAAGGGCTAGCATTGCACCAGACCCCTGTAAGTGGTTATGTTTGAAAGTGTAGAATCTATATTTTATGCAAATATGCATCACTTTGGTTTTTATTCTACTGTACAAAAGTTATTTATAACATAGTATAATACACAGTATTTTGGAGCTGGGTATTGAACATTGGTTCATTTTCATATTTTTCATATGGTTCATATATGACACATGTATAGCTCAAATGAAAGCTCTTGCCGGTGCTCATACGGTTCTAGTATTCTTTTTACTGAATTATATTCACATATCAAACAGTTGCCGAATAAATCACTGTGTTTCCATGGCGCAGAAGTGAAAACAATACATTTATGATCAATAAGCAGCCCCAGATAGCACAGACAGCTGTCATCTCTAAACTTATGCTGTGCGCTTCAGGGCCATTTCTCCTCTGTTTTTGAGGTGATGTGCATAAGTAATCCTTTTATATGTCTGACGTGGTCTAAACACATTGAATTATGTTTGATCAAACAAAAGAATAGTGAAATATGAAAACAATGACCGATCCCTGTGGCTTGTACAGCACCTCTCATCAGTTGGAATACAATAACTTTTGCATAGATTATGGTGGAGACATTTTTTCTTTTTTCCTATGATTACAGACATGAGCAGGAACCAACAAAATGAATTACAGCACGCTAGACCACACAGAACCTAAAAACTACACTTTCAAAATTGAGTTTATAAAAAAAAAATACAAAAAGCTCCTCTTTTTTTAGGTGTTTATTATAACACAGACAACATATTCAGATATTCTAAAGACTTTCAATAGTGTTTTATGAAAATTCAAAGGGTTTTCTTTAAAATGATCCTAAATTTTTGCATTTACACCTCTGCATGTGGATTTAGGAAGCTTTTAAATTTGGGTAGGCAAAATCCAGGCAGAAATCCCAAAATAGCAGGGGTTTAAGAGGTTAAATTGTCACATCATCTATTCAGTGCTTTTGTGTAATCGGATGATAGGCATTCCAAGTTGTGCTCCATTTGATTTAGTTGAATTAAATTTTGTTAAAAAAATGTTAGAAACCAGTGCAGTTCTTATGTAAGAGTTTTTTTTATATTAACCTGAGTGATTTGAAAGTAGCTTAGTAGATGTGTTTTTGATGGTTTGATCGATGATGGTTGAGAAATTAAATATGAGGCTGCACAGCTTTGTGTTTATTGATTGTTGTGCTTTGATTAATGTATTTTTCCTGTAAACCGCTGGCCAGATAATAACTATGAACTCTATGAGGATGGGTGTGTCCTCTTTAGTGGTGAAATGACACCACCCACTCCCACCCACATCCTGCTGCAGCCCCTCTCTAACCTGAAGAAAGTCTAATTGACAACTGTTGCAGTGCAACAATAGTTTATTATTTGACAAAAAACTAATAATAGATACAAATGATTTATATAGAGCCTTTTTTCATGGCTCAAGCACACTTAATATGGCAAGGCATAATGCTGACAGCTGGTTAGTCGCATTAGTGTAACATTCTCTACGTCAGAGTCAAATCCAATTCTGTCATACCCATTAACACATTTTTGCAAGTGTCTAAAACCAAGCATAGTTGAAAATGAAGAGATTACTGTTTGAAATTGACCATTTCCATCCCTTGTGTTCATGCAATATATCAAAATGCACACTGGCTGATGGTTAAATGATGCAAATGAATCGTTGATATCTGCTGTCTTCATTAGTTTCAAAAACACTGATTTCTTTACTATTTAAAACACCATCATTGGATATATTTTCTGCTGGAGATATTGTACTAAAAACAACAACAAAAAAAAAGTTTAAAAAACTTACATGTACTGTATGAAATGTATAGCAGAAATTTTGGCAGTTTTACAACCTTGAATAACTGGAAAAACTTTTCCAAAATGCTGAAAACGGTTATGGAAACCCAGTTACTGTCGCCTTTGGCTTGCTTGGGGTCACTGGGGTCATTAGATCTGCTCAGCAGTGAATCACATCCTTCAACAGTGACATTCATACTGAAATAAAATGAATAATCACTAAATGAACTAGAATAAAACCTGAATTCTGTGCAGCTTAATATACTGAGCTTGCTTCACTATGATGATTTTTAATTATTTCTTTCTTAAAATAGCTTTGACACAATTTACAGTATGAAGCACTGCAGAAATAAAAGCCAATTGACTTTAGTCATGGGTCAGTATAAGTTTCTGATGGTATGATAACCTTAAATAAAAATATCCCGGTATCCCAGTATTGTGATTACTAATCTAAAATATTTTCATTTTAAATGTCTGGGTAAAACCCCCCCAATTGAACACAATATATTTTATTTTAGAAAAATATTTATTATACTTTGAAAGATTAAACATGTGGGGTTAAATAATGCAAATGAATCGTTGACATCTGCTGTCTTCATTACTTTCAAAAACACTGATTTCTCTACTATTTAAAACGTCATCATTGGATATATTTTCTGCTGGAGATAATGTTGTACTAAAAAACAACAACAACAATAAAAAAAGTTTAAAAAAACTTACATATACTGTATGAAATATATAGCAGAAAATTTGGGCGGTTTTAAAATCTTGAAAAACTGGAAAAACCTTTCCAAACCGCTGAAAACGGTTATAGTCCGGTGCCTAATGGAAACTCAGTTACTGTTGCCTTTGGCTTGCTTAGGGTCATTGGGGTCAGGAGATCTTCTCAGCAGTGAATCACATCCTTCAACAGTGGCATTTATACTGAA